CCCGATACAGCCGCTACTGAAACTGACCAGCAGCGGCTAAATAGGGGATGCCTGGGGCAGAGCCGGACTATCAGAAGGGGAGGGCTATGAGGGGTCTGTGGAGGCATCCTCCCCGCACCACCCCAGACCCCTCATAGCCCCCCCTTCCGACAGTCCGGCATATCTGATAATCTGGCACCCTCTGGGTTCTAAAGGTGCCGGATTATTGGAAACTTTTTTTTTAAAGTGGGTACTTTATGAAAAAATGTTGAGGAACACTGGTATATAACACTTAAAAACAGGTACCTTTTAGCTGTCTGCCATTAGATGCTGTAGTTGAATGGGACTCTCTTTCAATCGACTGTTCCATCCTCTTTTCCTTCCTATGACATAGAGAGTCTCCAGTAATAGTTTCTCTCTCAGGGGATGCCTCTAGTCAAAACACATGCTCCTTTAGACATGTTGATTGTTCTCCCAGCCCTTAATTTAAAAACTTCTCTACAACCTTTCTAATTATGAGTGCCAGCAATCTGGTTCCATTTTGATTTAAGTGAAGCCCATCCTTCCTGTATAGACTCCCTCTTTCCCAAAAGGTTCCCCGATTCCTTATCAATCTAAACCCCTCCTCACTTCACCATTATTTCATCTATGCATTGAGACTCACCCACTTCTCTTTATCTGGCCATAGATATGGAGATGGAAGCATTTCAGAGAATGCTACTATGGAGTTCCTTAACTTGCATCTCTTACTTAGCAGAATGAGATTTTATGGTTTTTCTGATTGATAGAGGAATGGCAGCATGAGAGTCTCTGGCCTGTGCTAGGCTGGAAGTCAGAATAGATAAAAATAAAAACAAACAAAAAACCCTAAGATGATCATAATAGTCTCTTCACACCTTAATCTATGAATCTATCAATATATGGCAGCAGGTTCTGGCAGCATGGGTGAGATTGTCACACAATGGACATAAATGAATATGGGATTGGTACTCCCAGTCCCACAGAGATCAGGAGTTGAACTAATTCCCTTTCCTTTTCTTGTGAAGATCGCAACAGTTTCACCAGAGAAGGCAGCTGGGTTTGTAGAGATGCAGTGGCACTTGCAGAACAGCTGGGAATTGCCTCCTGCAGTGGCTGTGCAGGATACCATGCTTTTGTTGAGTTCTGGGAATCAGGTTCGGCAGGTGGGCCCAGGATGCTCTGAATCTGTGTACTAAACAAGTGGGAAACTGGCGATAGCCTGCAGCACAAGTGATCCTAAATCTCCACACCTTTACACTGCTACCAGGACAAGTTTCCTTTCCATTTTAGATTCAATGAAATTGTTTGGGTAGTCAAGAAAAGGTAATTCCTGTCCTCCCTGGCACCTGTTATTTCCAATTCTTGGTTCTTTAACAAATAAATACATAAAGATTTATTTTCAGTTATAGTCAAGCAAATTAACACTCATATTACTTACTGATTTACATATATGATGAGGTAGGATGGGAAATTTGCCTTAATCTGCTTAGCTGGCACAGTATCTTATTTTGATCCTTTTTAAATACTTATGAGACTTAAGAGAAACATACAATCTTTTTAAAATAACCCCCTGTAATACAATAGTTGAAACAATAGTAAAGAATAAAATTGTTAGAATAAACGTAGAAGAACATAATTTGTTGGGCAAAAGTCAACATGATTTCTGTAAAGGGAAATCATGTCTTACTAATCCATTAGAGCAGTGTTTCTCAAACTGTGCTCCGCAGAACGCCAGGGCTCCACGAGACATCTCTAGAAGCTCCGTGAGGTTGACAAACTGGAAACATCGATAGGAACAACACATACAGTCAGTGGGCCGCTGGGGCTCTACATAAATTTTTACGCATGTAAAGGACTCCGGAGCCCAAAAAGTTTGAGAACTGCTGTATTAGAGTTCTTTGAACGGGTTAACAAACGTGGACAAGTGGGATCCAGTAGATCTTAGCTTTCTAGAAAGCCTTTGACAAGGTCTCTCACCAAAGGCTCTTGTGTATATTACATGGCCATGGGATAAGAGGGAAGGTCCTTTCATGGATTGAGAACTGGTTAAAAGACAGGAAACAAACTATACGAATAAATGGTAAACTTTCCTGAATGGAGAGAGGTAACTAGTGGTGTCCCCCAAGGGTCAGTCCTAGGACCAATCCTATTCAACTTATTCTTAAATGATCTAGAGAAAGGGGTAAGCAGTGAGGTGGCAAATAGTCAAGACAAAAGCAGACTGTGAAGATCTCACCAAACTGAGTGATTGGGCAACAAAATGGCAAATGAAATGTAATGTGGATAAGTGTAAAGTAATGCACATTGGAAAAAATAACTCCAACTATACATACAATATGATGGGGACTAATTTAGCCACAATTAATCAGGAAAGAGAACTAATCAAGAAAGAGATCTTGGAATTATCGTGGATAGTTCTCTGAAAACATCCATGCAGTGTGCAGCGGCAGTAAAAAAAAACAAATAGGATGTTAGGAATTATTTAAAAAGGAATAGAAAATAAGATGAAGAATATCTTACTGCCCCTATATAAAACTATGATACTCCCACATCTTGAATACAGATGTGGTCTCCTCACCTCAAAAAAGATATTTTGGCATTAGAAAAGGTTCAGAAAAGGGCAACTAAAATGATGAGGGGTTTGGAACGGGTCCCATATGAGGAGAGGCTAAAGAGTCTGGGACTTTTCAGTTTAGAAAAGAGGAGACTGAGGGTGGATACGATTAAGGTATATAAAATCATGAGTGGTGTGGAGAGGGTGAATAAAGAAAAGTTATTTACTTGTTCCATAATACAAGAACTAGAGGACACAAATGAAATTAAGGGGGTAGCAGGTTTAAAACTAATAAAAAGAAAGTTCTTCTTTACACAGCGCACAGTCAGCCTGTGGAACTCCTTGCCAGAGGAGACTGTGAAGGCTAGAACTATAACAGAGTTTTAAAAAGAGCTAGATACGATTCATGGAGGTTAGGTCCATAAAAGGATATTAGCCAGGGGATAAGGAATGGTGTCCCTGGTGTCTATTTGTCAAAGGCTAGAGATGGATGGCGGGAGACAAATTGCTTGATCATTGTCTTCAGTCCAACCCCTCTGGGCACTGGCAACTGTCGGAAGACAGGCTACTGGGCTAGATGGACCTTTGGTCTGACCCAGTATAGCTGTTCTTATGTTTTACAGCTCCACAGATACTTTTTCATGTTTTTAAATCACTTAAACACTTGTCTTTTATTTTAAGCTTATTCTCAGCCAGTGGATAACCATATGAGTCCAGCTAGCTACTTGGGACAATCTTTGCCACCATCATCACCAGGAAGATATTCCCCAATTCCCAAGGAAATGATTGGAGATGAAGAGATTACCAGGTAAAGTGTGGATAATCCAATTGTGTGTAAAATGATCAAGATGTCAGTGTGTGCTATTTCAATAAATCAATATAAATCTAAAAAATATTTTAATATTAGTGATTATTTCTGTAAGACCTAAAAACTGTTTTGTTGATTTATTCTAGTTGCATTAATCCTGGTAGGGTTGAGGCCATACAGACTGCATTCAGCGTAAGGTATATAAGGTTGCCTACTCTAAAACTGGATCAGATACTGTAGAGCCATCCCTTGACCGTGTACCAAATTTCATCAAGTGACCCCCTGTGACAATTATTACCAGCTGCTGATTTAAATGGAAGTCTTCAAAGACACATGAATGTTCCAAGAGTAGTTATTTAGTGCACTCTAGTGATCATTTGAATGTACTGCAGATTTTCCACTTAAATATTTTAAAAAATCCATACAGTCATGGATCTATGGGACTGGAAGGGACTTCCAGAGGCCATGCACTCAAGCTGGACCAAGTATTCCTAGACCATCCTTGACAGGTGTTTCTCACCTGTTGTTAAATTTCTTGTGTTCAGTTGAAATTCTCCATTGCTTTGCTACTGAATCCATTGACAGCAGTAAAACTAATACCATGACTACACTAGAAAGTTTTGCTGATGGCATTTGTGCTGGCATACTGCCGCCAATGTTTCAGTTTTGCTACAGTGTGCACACATGTGGTTGCCTTTCCAGTGCAATGCAGTCTCACAGCAAAAGACACTCTGCATTATATAGGCAAATTAGTGTAGCCTGCTCCACTGTTTAGCACACTGCCTTCTGGGATATTCCACATTTCCCTGACAGAAGTGGTGGTAATTAGGGTCAAATCCCCATAGTCCCTTAATGTCCATTCCATCACATTTATGCACCATTATTTGATCCCGCTGTTCTTCATGCTGCTTCATGGATACTGAATAGATCAGCTGAGTCATTTTCAGTAGAAAGCAATGGATATTGTTTAACATTTAGTAAAACAGGAGAGGTGTATAATCAGTATTTACCTCTTAGTATCTTCTCTCTCAGGATCTCTGTGTATCTTGCAAATAAGGATTAGCTCCACATTTTGTAGATGAAGAAAAACTGTCTTAGGTCATGCAGAGGGATTGTGACATAGCCAGAAGAATACAATTCTGCAAGTTCTTTCTTCTTCGAGTGCTTGCTCATGTCCATTCAACATGGATGTGTGTGCCTGCCACATGCATTGGCGCTGGAAGATTTTCCTAAGTACATGAGGCCCCTGAGTTGCGATGTGATTGGTTCGGGGGAGCATCGTAACTTGAACCCTCATTTATGATAGGCGCTGTTGTAAATGTGGGCTGAGGATGTAAGTCGGGTGTTTTCGGCCCCTTCTGCACTTTCAAAAATGGTTGTAAGTGCAGGGGTTTGGAACTCAGGCTGTTGCGAACCGGGGGCCTCCTGTAGTACCCAGAGAGGCCAGGGTCCCCACGCTCCCTGGAGTGGAATGCATAACTATGCTATATAGGGCACTTTCCAACTCCGCCCTCCTCAGTTCCTTCTTGCCGCCGGTGACAGTGCTAGGAACAGCATGCTCCAGCCTTAGCTGTAGCTAGTGTTCCCCTTACCTATTTTGTTGTAGATTGTTATCTTCAGTAGTTACATACCATAAAAAAAAACAAGTGGTCGTGTAGCGCTTCAGAAATGAACAAATATATATATATATATATATATTGTCATGAGCTTTCTTGGGCTCAAGCCACCTCTTCAGATGAGAAGTGGGTTGTTCCCAGAAAAGCTCATCTCTCTATATATACAAAACTTGTCCTGCGGGAGGACAGAGTGATGTCATCATGTCATTTTGCGTCCCCAGGAGCCCTGACCATGTGACCACTCCATGAAATCGTGGGTTGGTGGTTCCATCCCAGTGTCTTCCTGCCTCTGTGCCCCACCCCCAGCCTGCCCAGCCACAGCACTTGAGGGTCATGCGGCAGGTCTCCCCTCAAGCAAGCAGCTCTAGCATGTGCTGGTGACCCAGGCCAGGCCCCTTGATCAGGCGTGCTTTCCCAGGAGCTCAGTCTTTGCGTGCTCCCTGGAGCAGTATCTGCCTGCCTCTTGGACCTGCCACCAGCTTGCCCAGCCCACGTGTAGCTTTGCTCTGTGTGGTCTGGGCTCAGGCACACACTCTCAGGAGCTCCATCCCCATGTGCTTCCTCAGCATCCACCTGCCTCTGAGCCCTGCACCAAACCTGCCCAGCCCACACGCCTGCTGCACATCTTTGTTCTGTAAGTCCGGGCTCAGGCATGCTCTCTTGGGCCTGCCACAAGCTGGGCAGGTCTTGCACCCCGGCCGTTTTCCCAGCTCTCCGTGGTGGCTGTTCTGCACTCTGGGCCCCCTAGGCTCGCCACAGAGCAAAGGTTTCCCAACAGGCCGGTGTGGAAAGGCTGGGGTGAGGATGGGATGTGGTCTTGCTGCAGTGGCCAGGACTGTGCTGCCCAGCCCACTAGTGCTCCTTGGGGGAAAGGGGCATGCAGCTCGGCAAATTCGTGGGAGGGGTAGGGAAGAAGGAAGGAGGGCATGTGGGGATGTGCAGTGCAGTAAGAGGGGGATGGTGTGGGTGACGAGGATGTAGGAATGCAAAGGAGGGGAGGGGGTGGGCAGTGTGGGGATGGGGAGAGCCAGGGCTGGCCTGGCCTTGGCCACTGGGGGAGGGGAAGGGGTAGGCTGGGGCTGCCTACCCTCAGAGACGGGGGTTGGCGAGCATAATGAACAGGAGGCACCGCCCCAACAATACTCTCTTTATATTTGTTGGTCTCTAAGATGTTACAGGACCACTTGTTTTTTTACTTTTCAGACTAATATGGCTACCCCTCTGAGATTAGTTAAGTATCTGAAGAAGTGGGTTTTGCCCACAAAAGCTCATGGTACCATCTACATTTTTTGTTAGTGTCTAAAGTGCTGCAGAACTATTAATTGTTTTTAAGCTTTTCCAGTTACAGATTAATACGGCTTCCCCTCTGAAACTTCTGAATCGTTCTGTTAGTGTTTGGATTCATCTTAGAGACCTCACCTTGGGGAACGGGGCATGCCTCGCTCTCCTGGCTCCAAAGCCTGTGCCACATGCAAGCCACATGCTGATAGCCGTAGTTGTCTGGATGAAGGACACGTATTGGAGAAGTGTCACCTCTGAAGGTCCTTCTGGCCTAGAACTATTAAAGAAAGGGGAATTTGGCTGTGGGTGTTACTGAGGGATTCCACACTAGCGCCACAAGACCAGCAGTTGGACTCGGAACCAAGGACCAATGTGTTGGTGTGCAGTGTCCTCTGTGTCAATGGCTCAGCACCATTCGTCACCACTGGCTCCAGTGAAATGCCTGAGGAAGCTGGGCAGGATAAGTTTCCTCGTGAAGACAAGTGGGGAAGGCAGCAGGAGAAGGCCCACATGGCAGCAAGCTCCTCTGCCCGGTCACCATGCACAGCTCTGTAGGTCCATGTCCCTTCCATGCTGGTCCCCCTAGAAGGAAGCTCCCATTTGGCTCTTGTTTGCTGAGGTCCTGCTCCCCTTCTCAGTCTGAGAAGAGAGAGCCTCGAAGCCCACAAAGGTCTGGGAGGGAGAGACCAGGGCAGGATGTGATATCTCCCACATCACTGGAGTCAGTATGCAGACCCACAGATCATGTGCTCCCAGACTAGTGGCTTTGAGGGGAGAATCAATCCCCTTACTTGCAATGTCAACCTGGGTATGTTTCTCTAGCCGTTTTGGCTCATCCAATTGCTCTCGATCCTCCTCATAGCACCTGTGTTCACTTCCATGACACTGGTCCTCACATATAAGCGGTAGATCCTCTGAGCACCACAGTCCTCACAGGGACATACTATGTTCCCGATCGCTGAGGTCTGTGTTGGTCGTAGAGTCCTGATTCTGAGGAAGCCGCCTCTCACAATCCTCATCATGGGCGTCGGGCAGCATTTGGTCCTGAGGTGGTGTTTCAGATTCGGCCTCCATCCCTCCGGCACAGACCTCTGCACAGCTCTCTGTGGCACTGCTCCTTAGGCCAGTGCCCTATCCCCTAGGCCAGTGGTCTCCAACCTTTTTACACTCAAGATCACTTTTTAAGTCTCAGAACAGGTGAAGATCTACTGCCCCGCCCCTTCCTTGAAGCCCCGCCTACATTACATGAGGAAATCTAATGTAAATGTACTGCGCAGGTGCTCAGTTCAGAGAGGGCTCAAGAGCTACTCTTAGAGCCCCTGAGATCTACCGGTAGATCGCGATCTACTGGTTGGTGACCACGGCCCTAGGCCACTCCAGAACCCCCTTCCCCACCCTTCCTACTTTAAGATGCCATTGCAGGGAATACCACGACCTCAGTCACAGTGGCATGCTCAATGGTGCTCATGGACCATCCTGAGGATTTCCGGTTCAACCCCAACTTATTTGGTAGCTGGAGAATCTCATGCTTCCTGATTGCCCCCAGCTCCTCGTGGGCAACCAGGTGATGTAGTGCATCCGATCTTGCTCCTGGTTTGGTCTTGAGAGGGGCTCCCTGCCATGTGCCTTCCTGTTTCAGTGGTCACAGGGCCTCCTCTCCGCCTTCCCTCAGTTTCCCCTCGTTGGCAGAGTCCTGTAGAAAGTAAAGAGGGACTGGGCAACTGATTCTCATCATGGCAACCTGGCCACCAGCACTAGCTTGGCACTCTCATGAGCCTAGTGTCACATGCACACTGGTAGCGTTGATCAGGGCCCACTCCATCAGAGCTCAAGCTTCTTCGCAAGCCTTTCTCACCCATGTCCTGATCCAGGATATCTGCTGAGCAGCGACATGACCATCAGTCCCTACTTTCATGTCATGCTATGCCATCACGCAGCAAGATAAGGAGGATGCTGCATTTGGTGGGACCTTGCTGCAGTCTGCATGTCCTTAATCCTACCCACCTCTGCAGACTGCTTGCAGTTACCTATGGACATGAGCAAGCACCTGAATAAGAAAAGAAAGTTATCTGTTCTGTAACTGGTGATCTTCAAGGTGTGTTGCTCATGTCCATTCAACTTCCCATTCTCTTCTCCTTTGTCAGAGTTCCTGCAAGAAGGAACTGAGGGTGAGGGGCCAGTGAGTGACCTGTATATCATGGCATATATACGCCACTCTATGGGGTGCTGGGACCCTGGCCCCTAAAGGTACTGCTTAGGGAAACAAAAAACAGGACTATGTAGCATTTTAAAGACTAACAAGATGGTTTATTAGGTGATGAGCTTTCGTGGGCCAGACCCACTTCCTCAGATCAAATAGTGGAAGAAAATTGTCACAATCATATATACCAAAGGATACAATTTAAAAAAATGAAAAGGACAAATCAAATTTCAGAACAGAAGGGGGTGGGGGGGAGGTAAATATCTGTGAGCTAATGATATTAGAGGTGATAATTGGAGAAGCTATCTTTGTAATGGGTAGGATAATTAGAGTCTTTATTCAAACTTAGGCGTAAAGTGTCAAATTTAAGCATGAATGACAGTTCAGAGGATTCTCTTTCAAGTGTAGTCTTAAAAGGCCTTTGAAGCAGGATGCAGGTAATCAAGTCGTTGAGATAATGTCCCTTCTGGTTGAAATGGCAAGAAACTGTTTTTTCTTTGTGATCCTGTCTAATATCTGTTTTGTGGTCATTGATCCTTTGGCGAAGTGTCTGAGATGTTTGTCCAATGTACATAGCAGATGGACACTTTCGGCATATGATAGCATAACTTATATTTCTGGATGTGGAGGAATATGTGTTCTTGATCTTATAACTCACTTGGTTAGGTCCAATAATGGTATCAGCAGAGTGAATATGTGGACAAAGCTGGCAACGGGGTTTGTTGCAAGGGAAGGTACCGGGGTTGGTATTAGTGTGGTATGTCCTGTGGTTGCTGGTACCAGTACATGTGGCAGGCACGCTCAGCTATGCTGAATGGACATGAGCATCACATCTCAAAGAACATCAATTATGGAACAGAGAATTGTCTTTTTCCAGTACTGTACCTATGCTATGCTACTTCTTGGTGATGTCAGAGTAAGTAGATAACAAAGGAGGGGCACAAGATCGGGAGCAGAATCAGCCAGGATGGAAAGGCTAAACAGAAAGTGGATTTGTGGGGGGAGAGAACATTTAGAGTATTAGAAAAGGAAGAGCACTAATCCAAAGACAGAAGGAGTATTTAAAAAAGACTTTCAATTCACATTCAGAATATGATCTGAAGAAGTGGGTCTGCCCGCACGAAAGCTCATCATCTAATAAACTATCTCGTTAGTCTTTAAAGTGGTACATAATTTTTTTTTCCTTTTGTTTTACCAAGATCAGACTAACATGGCTACCTCTCTATTACTTTTAAAAAAGTCAACAGAGAGGAGTAGATGTGAAATAAAGAATGGGGAAGAGTGATGTGCTGTTGCATTAATTTTCTTGGAATAACTGGGCACAGAGGGTCAAAAGTGTTAACATGGCCTTTCAGAATATAACCCTAAAAAGTTGAACACAGTGAAAGGCTTCAAGTACAGAGGCGTTGGCCTGCTTAAGTCTTTGAAAATCACACCATTACATTTTTAACCTTTTATCAAAGATACAGAAAAAGAAGGAATAACTGTTAAGGTATCTGAAATATAAATTATTAACTAAAACTTTCATTTTAACAACATTCCTTCTTTTCTTTCCCTTTAGCTGTACCAAGTTTTCATAAGGATTCTGACCCCTCCACCCACACATTTGATAGTCATTTATATGACTTTTAAAGGTCAGAAATAACTGTTCTTTTGGTGAAGAGAGAGATTAGTTGAGATGGTCAGTTAGAGCTGCTGTTAAAATCCAGACATGCTTTCTTAAAGACAAATAAGGCAAACATACACAATTGGTGACAGAAAAGAACAGCAAAAAATAGAAAATCCAGCTTCTGGCTTTGGTGGTGACATTTACTTGCATCCTTGCTATTGGAAAAACACAGACGCAGCACATCCTCTTACCAGTCTCCCCGAGACATGGTAAATTTGTACCAACTTCAGACTTTTTAGGCATTTGCCTTTAGCTACCTTGCAGGTCACAGTGTTACAAAATATGTAGTTTTGGCCAGCTAAGCCAGACTTTTATTACACAGAAGGGAAAAGAGCAACCGGAAAGAGAAGAAATAAGACGATGGAAAATTATGTGGGATATAGAAGGTGACAGCAGAAACCTAAGTCTCACATTCCAAGTGGTGGTTGGGACTGAGCCATAACCAATTAAGCTGTTGATGATGTTAGGGATTCCTCTTTCTATCTTATTCTGGTCAGCACATTTCTCAAGATCAGGAAAGTGAGGGTGTGACAGTGACAGGTCCCTTGTGGGGTCCCAATAGATGGTAAAGATTGCATCTTCCAGTTCACCTGTCTTCTAGACAGCTGCTTGTTTATTGTTTCCCCTGATGTTTCTTTTTTAAAAGACCCTGAAAGGGTGTGATTGGGGGAATGGTCCATCCCCTCATAGTCTACCACTATCCCTAATTCTAACCAACTCTGATACTTTAGTCTCAGGTCACACACTCTTCTCATTTACCAGACATGATATTAACACAGTCACTGAGTTACAACTACAAGCCTTTTTGTTGGGCATAATTCTTTTGTATCTCTTCTGTGCCTTTCCCATTGACATTTCTTATAGGTGATTGGAGCATTTCATATTTTTTTAATCCAGTTTCCCACAGTTAAGCATATATTTGAAGTAGGACTGTCTGGCTTCACTTACTACATTAGTGCCCTCTGCTTATCAAGATGAATTGTATGATTCCCTTTTTTAATCTACGTTAGCTCTTGTCTTACAAATTGTAAGCTCCTTGAGGCAGAGATCCTCTTTCTGTTGTGTTTGTATAGTGCTTAGCACAGTGGGACCCTGATGCGTGACTTAAGCTCCTAGGCACTACAAAAATAAATGTAATAATTGATAGTGTAGTGGCAAATAGAAATGTAGGATTATGTGAAATTTGGAATTCATATAATATGTTAATAAATAGTTGTTAAAAAGTCAACAATTATATACACTGCATGGTAAAAACTAATATGAGTGTATGAGTATAACAGATGGGTATTTTTACCTGTGCATTCAAGAAAAGAAATGCATGGATTCTTATGATGAGAGGTGTGCTTTCTGAAAATCTTCAGCAATTTTTTTTCTTAGAAAGGTTGTTTTAATAAACAATATTATTCATGATTAGTGTTTATAATCTTATCATTCCCTTCTGTCTTTTAGAGAACCTAGAAAAGTTGTTCTACATCGTGGATCAACAGGGCTTGGCTTCAACATCGTGGGCGGCGAAGATGGAGAAGGAATTTTCATCTCTTTCATTCTTGCAGGAGGGCCTGCTGATCTGAGTGGTGAGCTCAGGAAAGGAGACCGTATAATTTCGGTAGGATTCAATTTAATTATTTCCTCCTCCTCAGTCTGTTTTACTTTGATGGTTTATATAACACATTTCAAGGGAACCTAGTGAACTGATTGGGCTAATTTCGTGAATGTGAGAAAAGGAGTAAGTATTCTGTTTCATGTTATCTGATGTATAGACCTAATTTAAAGGGCAGACATTTTGGGGGCATGTAGTGTAATGCACCCCACAATTGATGAAGTAACCCTGATCTTAGCCAGAAAACTATTGATCTTAATCTGAACTAACTTTCAGGCCCGTCCCCAAACCCACTTCTGTCATTGGGAGCTATTAGGCCTTCCCCAAGGACTAGGATAGACAGTTGAGGTAAATTAACAAGGTTTATTAAATAGTTTCAAACAAGAGAAGTATAACTCTTCAGTAGAACAAAACAGAACCCCCGTACATGGAATAGAACAAAAGTAGCTTGACTGCAACTCAAGGTAAGTAATAGGTAAGGACCCAGGTAACCCGGAGGAATGTCACAGGGACTGTACCATCTTTCACAGCTGTGGGACCCTCACAGCGGTGCCTTGATTTCAGACTCGGTCTCAGATGTCTGGAACAGCAGGATCAGAAGAGCTGGATTCTCCTTTGGCTAAACCCCTTTTCCCTGCGCTGTTGTGGGTGTGAGTGAGTCCTGACTGGAGAGGAGTGACAGATGGATGTTCACTCCTTGCATAAGAGTATTTTGCCACCTACAATGTGTGGTACTGGCATACCTGTCTGAATGACTCCTGACTCTTCAACTCAGATGGGCAGCCCCAAGGAGCGCTTGAGGCAGCCCTTAAATAACCTGCTGTCACAGAGCAGTTTATGATCACGTGTCTGCTGTTACTGGGCAAACTTACTTCCCTGACATTAGGTTTCCCACCAAAACACAGAAAAGGGCGGGAAAAGGAGGGAGAAGAAGGGCAGCCAAAATTGAATCTTAGTTGTTGTTTGTACTCACAACATGGCACCCATGCCCAACATGGCGTCTCAGAGAATTTAACCCTACACTAATATCATCTTACTTGGGCTGGAGAATACTATGTTTAAAATTAGGAGGAAGTCAATTTTTATTAATAAAACTAAAATTGGTGAGTGTATAGGTCATACAAGTGGGCCTGCTCTGTGGGTAAGCAGAGAAGGAGGATTGTGCAGCCGTTAGGGCAGTAGTTTAGAACTTTGGAGTCATGAATTGTTCTGTGCTCTGCCGCAGACTTCCTGAGTGACCGTTAGCAAGTCACTTAGGCTATGTCTACATGGGTATAGAAAATCTGCAGCTGGCTCAGTCAGCCAACTTGCGTTTGCAGGCGTGAAAAATCACTGTGTAGACATTGGGACTATAGCCTGAGCTCTGTAGTTCTGTGAGGGTGGAAGCTCCCCAAGCTCCTGGGCCAGTCATGGATGTGCAATGAGCATTTTATCCCTGTGTAGAGGTCTGTGGGTCAGTAAGCATTCCTAACTTTGGTTCAAGGACCTTTCTGGGTGGGATGGATCAGAGCCCAATTCTTGTTTTTACTCAGGTAAAAGCCCTGTTGTTTTGCAGTATAGAGGCAGGTCCAGCACAAGATGTATGCTACAGTATGGACACATGATCATAGCTGTGAGATCAGGATCCAATAATTGTAAACCCAGATTTATGACACAATGGGAATGCTCAAGCATGGAAATGGAAACACCAAGTCCACAAGCCTGGGTCCCCCAGACTGAGGTTGAGTGTAAGAGGCATACCTTTAGTGCCCTCATTCCCTATCTGTAACCTGGGAATAATGGTTCTCCCCTGCCTTATGGAGATGTCGGGATGAGCCATTAAAGATTGCAAGGCTCCAGCATTGTGGGTCATATAAATATGAAAGAAGAGAGAGACTGAAACTTTTGACAAACTTCAGCACAGGTCTCTATAACCAAGCCATGCTTGCTTGCTGGAGAATCGGATATTTCTGAAGGTGGAGAGGCCTAGCAGTAGTGCTCCAAAAATGGCCGTGTTATGAACATGAGATTTAGGAGACGCCCCAGAAAGCATGACAAAGCCAGTGTGAACCTAGTCTTTGAGGAGATCTCAGGCACCAGCTCCCCAAAATGGATCTTAACAAATGTTAGTAAAACAGCCTACCACTCAATCATTGATAATGTTCCATCTGCCAGAAGAAAGCTGGCTACAGCTACCTCCAAGTCAGTCAAAATGCTCTATATGCCCAATAAAATGGCTCACTAAAAAGCAGTACATTTCCTCCTCTTAGGATCCCCCTGAGCTCAGCAATGGGGAACCTTTTTCTGTCATGGGACAGTGACCCACATGAAAAAATCAGTCGGGGCTATACTTCCCTGGACTGGAGGGGAGGGAGAGAAATGGAGGCTCAGGACTTTCGCATACCTCTGGAGTTCAGGACGGTGTTCCCTTTATTTTTTCCCACCCCGAGCAGAATGAGTTATGTGAACCGATATGGATGCCATTTGTGACACATCACCTTCATATTATAAAAATCATAGAAGACTAGAACTGGAAGGGACCTTGAAGGGTCATCGAGTCCAGTCCCTTGCCCTCATGGCAGGACCAAGCACCGTCTAGACCATCCTTAATAGATGTCTGTCCAACTTGCTCTTAAATATCTCCAGAGATGGAGATTCTGCGGCTTCCCTAGGCAATTTATTTCAGTGTTTAACCACCCTGGCAGGTAGGAAGTTTTTCCCTAATGTTCATCCTAAACCCCCCTTGCTGCAGTTTAAGCCCATCAGAGGCCAAGGAGAACAATTTCCTTCCCTCTTACTTGTTGACACCCTTTTAGATACCTGAAAACCGCTATCATGTCCCCTCTCAGTCTTCTCTTTTCTAAACTAAACAAACCCAATTTTTTCAGTCATCCCTCATAGAAGGTTTAGCGAACATGAGCTATCATTCTCATTGCTCTTCTCTGGATCTTCTCCAAGTTCTCCACATCTTTCTTGAAATGTGGTACCCAGAACTGGACTAGTTGAGGCCTACTCAACACAGAGTAGAGCGGAAGAATGACTTCTCATGTCTTGCTCACAACACTCCTGTTAATGTGGCAAGGAGTCTTGTGGCACCTTATAGACTAACTGAAGTGTTGGAGCATAAGCTTTCGTGGGCAAAGACCCACTTTGTCACATGCATCTGACGAAGTGGGTCTTTGCACATGAAAGCTTATGCTCCAACACTTCAGTTAGTCGATAAGGTGCCACAGGACTCCTCGCCGCTTTTGCAGATTCAGACTAACACGGCTACCTCTCTGATACTTGACTCCTGTTAATGCATCCCACAATCATGTTTGCCTTTTTTGCAACTGCATTACACTATTGACTCATTTACCTTGTGGTACACTATGACCCCTAGATCCCTTTCTGCAAGACTCCTTCGTAGACAGTCACTTCCCATTCTGTATGTGTGAAACTGATTATTCCTTCTTAAGTGGAGTACTTTGCATTTGTCCTTATTAAATTTCATCCTGTTTACCTCAGACCATTTCTCCAGTTTGTCCAGAACATTTTGCATTATGACCCTATCCTCCAAAGCAGTTGCAACCCCTCCCAGCTGAGTATTATATGCAAAATTAATAAGCATACTGTCTATGCTAATATCTAAATTGTTGATGACAATATTGAACAGAACTGTCCCAAAATAGACCCCTGCAGAAGCCCACGTTATGCCCTTCCAGCAGGATTGTGAACCATTAATAACTACTCCCTGAGAACCCTTATCCAACCAGTTATGCGCCCACCTTATAGTAGCCCCATCTAAGTTGTATTCCTCTATTTTACTGATAAGAAGATCATGTGAGATGGTATCAAATGCCTTAATGAAGTCTAGATATATCAAGTCTACCGCTTCTCCCTTATCCGCAAGACTTGTTAGCCTATCAAAGAAAGCTATCAGATTGTTTGGAGATGATTTGTTCTTTCCAAATCCATGCTGGCTTTTACCTATCACCTTATTTTCTTCCAGATATTTGCAGATCAATTCCTTAATTACTTGCTCTATTATCTTTCCTGGCTCAGAAGTTAAACTGACTGGTCTGTAGTTTCCTGGGTTGTTGTAATTTCCCTTTCTATAGATGGGCACTATATTTTCCCTTTTCCAGTCTTCTGGAATCTCTCCCGTCTTCCATGATTTTTCAAAGATGATAGGTAAAGACTCAGATACCTCCTCTATCAGCTTCTTGAGTGTTCTAGGATGCCTTTCAGACATCTACATTGTCTAAGTAATTTTTAACTTGTTCTTTTTTTTTTATTTTATCTTCTAAACCTACCCTATTCCCACTAGCATTCGCTATGTTAGGCATTTCTTCATCATCAGAGTTCTTGGTGAAGACCGAAACAAAGAAATCATTAAGCACCTCTGCCATGTACAAGTTCCCTATTACTGGACAATGGACCTAACCTGTTCTTGTCTTCGTCTTGCTTCTAATATATTTATAGAATGTCTTCTTGTTACCCTTTATGACTCTAGATAGTTGGAGCTCGTTTTGTGCCTTTGCCTTTCTAATCTTGCCCCTGCATTCCTGTATTGTTTGCTTATAGTCATCCTTTGTAATTTGCCCTAGTTTCCACTTTTTATATGGACTCCTTTTTGATTTTGAGATCATGCAAGATCTCCTGCCAAAGTGGTCTTTTGCCATATTTTCTATCTTTCCTGCATAGTGGAATAGTTTGCCTTCGGGCCCTTAATAAAGTTCCTTTGAAAAACTGCCAACTCTCTTCAGTTGTTTTTCCTCTTAATCTTACTTCCCATGGAACCTTACCTACCAGCTCTCTGAATTTAATAAAATCTGCCTTCCTGAAATCCATCCATAAGCAGGGGTGTCCATTCTTAGCACCTCTGTGGGGAGGCAATTCAGTTATGGAAATGGTGCATCCCTCGTCATATCCACATTATAGCCACATATATCCCAGGCAGGGACAATGTGTTAGCAGATGACCTCAGCAGAAACTTCTCTCTCAATCACCAGCAGAAGATCAACAGGTCGGCCATCAATCATCTGTTCCGCAGATGGGGGTTTCCTATGCTAGACCTTTTTTGCCACACTCAGAAACTCAAAGTGCACTCAATATTGCTCCAGAGCAAGATTGGGCCCGGGATCTCTGGGGGATGCTTTCAGCATCAGATGGGTCGCGCCTCTAGCATACGCGTTTCCACCAATCCCTCTCATCCAGAGAGTGATACTCAAAATAAAACAGGACAGAGCCAAAGTTATACTGCTAGCACCATGCTGGCCCAGACAGACTTGGTATCCAGCTCTTCTACACATGGCCAGGCATCCCCCTCACCACTTCCCTCCTGTTCTGTCACTGCTCATGCAAGAGAACAGGAAGATTTGGCACCCTGCCATCGAGTATCTTCATCAGCATGCATGGCTCCTTGCTGATTAACCACAACAGCGATCCGGTGTCCTCCAGAAGTTCAAACTATACAGGGGCAAAATTAGAACAGCTGCAGACCTACACTCAACAAGGAAAACCTACACCCAGAAATGGCAACAGTTCACTAGCTGGTGCTCGTCTCGATGCTTCACTCCTACGCAGACGGAAATCCCACTCATACTCACCTATCTACTATACCTTCACAAATCCGGTCTATCCCTCAGCTCTATCAGGGTCCATCTCGCAGCCATATCTGCATTCCACCCGCCTATTCAGGACCATTCCATTTTCACTCATCCATCAATCAAGAGTTTTTTTCAGGGCCTACACAATACATTCCTACCAACTTAAGAACCAGTACCTGCATGGGACCTTAATCTCGTGCTAAGGGCATTAATGGGCAAATCATTTGAACCACTAGCTACATGTTCCCTTCTCTATCTATCCATGAAAGTGGCCTTCCTCGTGGCTATTACCTCAGCATGAAGAGTGGGAGAGCTGGGAGCACTTATGACCGACCCACCTTATATGGTCTTCCACAAAGACAAGGCGGTCCTACAGACCCATCCTAAATTCCTTCCCAAAGTACTTACCTCGTTCCACTGTAAGGAACCGATTTACTTAACTATCTTCTTCCTCAAGCCTCATAGCAATGACAGGGAACGGGCTCTCCATACCCTTGATATCTGTAGGGCAGTGGCCTTCTATCTTCAATGAACACGCCCGTTCCGCAAAACACCTTACTTGTCCATCTCCTCCACATAAAGATCTTAGGGACATCCGATCTCTAACCAGAGACTCTCCAAGTGAATTTCAGACTGTATAAGGATGGCTTATGCCATATTCAACAAACAGCCTCCCTTGTTTGTGTGTGCCCATTCTAAGAGGGCAGTGGCCACCCCCACAGCATTCCTCTGCAGTATCCCCACAGATGAGATCTGCAGAGCAGTCACATGGGCTTCTGCTCACACTTTTACTCATCACTATGCCATCCAGTCATATGCAGACACTCACACTTGATTCAGCCATACAGTACTTTCAGTAGGAGAAACAAGCCTTCCGAAGTTCCCACCTCCAAGCACTGATACTGTTCTGTAGTCACCTAAAGGTGGAGTGCCCATGGGGCACGTGCTCCACCACCCACCCTCCTCCCCTCTGCTTCAGATTCTGTTTGGGGTCTGTATCAGAGAAGAACTGAGGAGCCAGCTGGCTGCACATGCGCATTACACACTCCAGGCACCTTGCTCCAGAGCCAGCCAGGGGGCACTGCTACCAAGAATATCCGACTGGTGGGCGCAGCAGCACTGGTGCACATAAAGGTGGAGCACCCCTGGGGACAAACAACTGGAAGAACTCCAGTTACGGCACAGGGTGAGTAACCTTCCCTTCCATCTCAATCAGACGACAAACCTTCCTACCATTTTTCCTAAACCACATGCCAACTCATTTGAGATGTAAATGCACACCCTTGACCTGTGCAGAGTACTCTATTTCTACCTGTAACAAACTAGACCAATTTGAACATCTCCGAGACTCTTCATGTCAATAGTTAACCACAATAAGGGCCAGGCCCTCTCATCACAAAGACTCCCACTGGATTTCTGACTTTATTAAGCTCTGTTACTCCCAATTGGAAGTGGTCCCTCCAGACAACCTAAGGCCACATTCCACCAGCGCCATGTCTACCTCAATAGCATTCCTCCGCAAAGTACCCATAAGAGACATGTGCAGTTGCTACGTGGTTGTTAGACCACACATTTATAAAGCACTATGTGCTTACGCAGGGACCTCTCTCGAACCTGAAATCTGTTAAGGCAGTCCGTTCCTCCGCATTTCTGCCACATTCGAAGTCCTTACCTCCTTAATCCGGAATAGCTTTGTAGTGACCTAATGTGGCGCACCCATGGGGATATCTCTCTCAAAGAAAAGGAGATGGCTTACCTTAGCAGTAACTTATATTCTTCGAGATGAGTGTCCCCATGGGTGCTTCACTACCCTCCCTTTCCTCCTCTCTATTTCAGAATTCTGGCCTCACTGGCATCATTCCGGTGTAGAGAAGGAACTGGGGGATGGGAGGGGCTCGAACATGCATGATGCCTGCCATCTGGGAGTGTGCAGCCGCAGACATGTGCATGCATAGCGCCAGGGACACTGCTTTAAAATCTCTGATCAGTGGCTTGGCAGTGGCGCACTCATCTCAAAGAACATCAGTTACTGCTGTAGTTAGTAACCTCCTCTTCCCCACCTTTGCTGTTGCCGCACAATATGATGGTATATTTAATAATTGCTCTGTTTCAGTACAGAGTATTAGAGAATACTTTGGATGGTTTGGATGATTCTTTTTTGCTTGGGAAAAATTTGGGGGAGGCTGATACTGTGTTTGGACTACAGTAATTAAAATTGGGTGACGTGGCTTTTTTTTTAAGTAATTCTGGAGAGAAAGTGAAAAAATACTGTACATTTTCATAATTTTTTTTAGGTCTGAAAAATGCATTTAAATTTTGTGATTATTTATACATTACTTAATGAATGGTTACGTATGAAAAATGGGCACATATACCTTGGATTTCAATATCTTATTCAGTAATATTTAATATCTGATTTGTAAAAAAAACAAAATTGGAATAAGTCAAATAATTGTTTCTGTGAAAAAATAGGTTACTTCATATGAATTTTTATCTACATTTATATTAAAACTATGTTTTGTCATAAATGTATAGTAACATGATTGTTTACTCTGATAAGAGACTTTTACATTTTGTTTGTAGGTAAATGGTATAGACCTTAAAGCTGCGACTCATGAACAAGCAGCAGCAGCCTTGAAGAATGCAGGCCAAGCAGTAACTATTGTTGCACAATACCGTCCTGAAGGCAAGATAATTGTTCTTATTCATATTACACCTGTATAGTATGACAGTTTTAAAAATTAACTTTCTATGGATGTCAAGATTCTACAAGAAAACTTGTACCTGCTTTGGGGGAAGGAGAGAAAATAATGTACTTATAATTAATATATTACTGCTGAAGGAATTCTGCATCAAAATGTTAAAAATTATGTGCATAGTATTTTAAAATTCTGCATATGTTATTTGTCAAAATAACACAATATAATCATATCAATTTCAATTATTTTGGTAATTCATTTCAAAATTTTTCTTCGAGTGGCCCCATGGGTGCGCCACTCTAGGTTTCAGGTCCATCCCGGTGCCGCTGGTCGGAAGATTTCAGAGCCATCTTCGGCCGGTCTGTGCATGCCCCCTGCAGCGTGCGGCTTCCGTGCCTTTGATCACGAGTGCAGACCGGCCCCCTCACCAGTTCTTCTCGACCGTCCTCAGTTGCTGGTGGAGCTTTGCGATCTCTCCTCAAACGCAGAGCAATACTGTCAAAGTTGTAAAAAAGTTAATCTCCAGTTAGTTTTTTCCTGTTGATTAGTTAGTTTTTAAAAAAACGGTGTTCCCAGTGCAAAGAGGCTATGCCAGCCTCAGACAGGCATGCAGTCTGTGCCCGTTGTTTGGAGGAAATTCATGTACTCCAAAAATGCGCTCATTGCTTGAAAATTAACCCCTCAAGCGCGTAGAGACAGAGATCTCCATCTCAAGTTACTTCTGTGCGATAAGGCTCTTTAGCCTATGCAGTCTTCACCCCAGGAGCAATTACCTGCTCCAGAGAGAAGAGTAGTATCACCGAGAGTGCCTAAAACAAAAAGAAAAAGGCTTCTCCCACCCGCTCCCTCCCTGCCGCGGGTGAGTCAGGACAAGCCGGGCACAGCGGCAGTAGGCAGTCGACCTGTGTTCAAATCAGTTTCACGGTCAGTGGCATAGTAAACAGAGGTCAAGGGGTATAGGTATTGTATCCCTAATTTTGGTTCAGAAAATATGGTAACCATATGCGGAGAGAACAGAGCCTCCCTGCCGCGGGTGAGTCAGGACAAGCCAGCTTCCCCTGCTTATAGGGAACATACGCGAGCCAGAACTCCTTCGGGGGGGATAAGCTAGCCGAAACACTAATGCCACCAACGATGCCTCCTGAGACGGAACCATCCCCACAGCAGCGGGACGAGTCAGGAGCGGCACCGGAGTCTGCACCTCTGAGTGCACCCCCTACCCCTCCACAGGAGCGAGCAGCGGCACCGGGAGACCATGGCTCACCGCGCCGCAGAAAGCGAGCCAGAACTCCTTCGGGGGGGATAAGCTAGCCGAAACACTAATGCCACCAACGATGCCTCCTGAGACGGAACCATCCCCACAGCAGCGGGACGAGTCAGGAGCGGCACCGGAGTCTGCACCTCTGAGTGCACCCCCTACCCCTCCACAGGAGCGAGCAGCGGCACCGGGAGACCATGGCTCACCGCGCCGCAGAAACGGTGCTGGCAGGGCAGGCAGGGCAGCCGGCACCACCAGAGGGCAATTCCCCCAGAGCACCCCGGGTGCCACGTGAGGTCATTCGCTCGGTGCCAAGAGCTGCTCAATCCTCCCAGTCATCTGCACCAAGATCACAGACAGCCTCTCTGCCTCCATTACACACTCAGCGGGCGTGTGCTGAGGGAAACCATAGCAACTCAGCAGGAGACCTGACAGCTGCACCGGAGCCCCGGGTAGCTGTTCCTACTAAGGCAGCAAGGAAATCAGCTCCTAGAAATCATTTCATGTTGCCTTCACCATGTTTCTCGCCTGAACCTTCCCCAGCTGCTTACCATTCAGACAGGGGGGCTTATACCTCTGCATATGGCAATTCTCGTAGGCACTCCTGCTCCAGTCATTCATATAGATATGGTCGTGTATCTCCACATAGATCTCGCTCTCCAATGTACTCTCCTCCCAGATCATATCGGAGCAGGCATGGGAGCAGATACTCATCAAGGAGATCATCCCCTGAGTGTGATTATCATTTGAATCGCTACCTTCAAAAACAGCGATTCAGAATGGTGACGCTCACTATGATCATCCCAGCTCTGGACAACAACGATTGGTTCACGGCCCTCGACCTACAGGACGCTTATTTTCATATAGCAATACATCCTGCGCACAGACGATTCCTACATTTTGTCATAAAGGACGAGCATTTCCAATATTGTGTCCTCCCATTCGGACTGGCTTCTGCTCCATGGGTATTTTCAAAGACCCTTGCTGTCATTGCTGCACACCTCCGGCAACTGCGAGTCATCATTTTCCCTTATCTGGACGACTGTTTGATAAAAGGTACGTCTCAGGAACAAACGTCCCTCATGGTCACAACGGTCAGACGAGCGTTTGACTCTCTTGGATTGATTGTAAACGAGTCGAAATCGACCTTCACTCCAATGCAAAGCATACAGTTCATAGGGGCAGTTCTCGACTCAAGGATGGCAAGAGCCTATCTACCAAAGAACAGATTCCAGGCAATAAAGGACTAGGTCAGTCTACTCAGCAACGGCCCAGTAGTCTCAGTTCATACCTGTCTGCGTCTCCTGGGCCACATGTCTGCAGCCATGTTTGTCGTTCCCCACGCACGCCTCCACCTCAGAAACCTGCAACGCTGGCTGTCAACTGTGTATGTTCCGGGAAGACACGACATTCACAAGCAAGTTTCTCCTCCGCTCCACGTTCACATGTCTCTGCGCTGGTGGACCAAGGCATCAAACATTTTGACAGAAATGCTTTTCCACAGACTGATTCCATCAGTACAGCTGACATCGGACGCCTCCCTCATTGGATGGGGTGCGCACATGGGTGACGAAAGCATACAGGGTTGTTGGTCTCCTGCCGGGAGGCGTCTACATATCAACAGACTGGAGTTGCGTGCCATATTCCTGGCATGCAAGCATTTCCTCTCTCACCTGAGAGGCAAGACCGTCAGAGTGCTCACGGACAACGTGGCGGCGATGTATTATCTAAACAGACAAGGCAGAGCAAGGTTACGTTCCCTATGTACAGAAGCGGTATGGTGCTGGAACTGGTGCATAAAGAACAATATCACCATAGCAGCATCCTACTTACCTGGCATAGCCAATGTCATTGCCGACTCCCTAAGCAGACGCTTTCCCGTAGACCACACGCGCGCACACACACACACACACACACACACACACTGTGTCAGTATCTACTTTGTAGCCATGTCTGGGAGCTAGTTCTCTTTGTCAGGCTGAGGGTCAGGAAAAGCTGCAGCTCCAAAGCAGAGCCACACCTCTAGACTCCAACAGTAGCTGCCTCTGCTCTTCCCGCCCCTAGGAGTGGAGGCTGATTACTGTGCTGACTGGACATTGCCAGTATCCCTTTTCAACCAAGGTCCCTGCTAAGCTGTGTGGCAGTGCAACTGCTTCATAAGCCCAGCACAGAGCTGCCTGGCTACAGGAGAGACACCTCTCCTTCAGTTACAGCAGCTCTATGTTGGGGACAGAGGAGCCAGTCAGAGTAGGGAGGGAGAAAGGAAATGAGTGGCTGGTGGGGATACGAGGGGAGGGGAATTTGGGGTGTCACTTCTCCTGGTTGGGAGAGGATAGAGAGAGACTACCCTGATTACAGGAAACCATTGACATTCATGTTGGGATGCGTTCTTGGCATCACCGTGAATGGCAAAATTCACGAATCTGGGAGCTTTTGCTCCCCCCTTCCCACTTCGCCCCCAGTGAGATCCTAGTAGCTCCTGAATTCACGCAGGGGGATGGAAGCTGTGGCAAACTCCCCACAGCTGCTCGGAGCCAGGGAACTTACCATAGCTCCCAGCAGCTGTTGTGAGTTTCCCATGGCTCCCGGCCCCCACCACACCCTACCCCCTGCATGCTGGTACAGGAAACCCCCAAGAATATATGATCTCCTGTACCGTAGCTGGGTTAAGGTTAAGCAGCAGAGACTGGAGCAGCCCAGACAGAGCACCCCTCTTTCCATGGCAGGGGGGCCGCTCCAGCCTGGCCATGGCGGGCGGGCTGCAGCCCCCCTGCCTATCTTCCATTTATTGGGTTAATTCACTAACTGTAATGTTAAATTGGTTTAACTAATTAAACAGTTTTTTACATCCCTAGTAAGTGGGAGAAATAGGAGTGTGTGTGTTGGCATCAATGACCTGGGGATGGGGAATTTTTTGTGGTGTGCCCTCCTGATTCCCAACCCAGCTGCAGGTTTTAACCTGAGGCCAAAATTTGTGGTTTGAGCGATGTTTCAAGTGTTGTAAAATCCACGTGTGGACTGGTTGTCCTTTAGAAGTTTTGTTGAAGAAACTGGTGTTATTTAAACAGCATGAAGCTGAAAAAAATCTAGGAGAGAGTAGAATCGTGTCTTCACCATTTCCTGACCAATGCAGTTGGGTGTGATGAAAGGAAAGCAAGTCATTGAGTCATTTCGTCCTATGGGTGGGTGCCTCATACACGTACCTTTGGGCGTGTGCTGTTCATTGCATTTCCTGATTTGTATAACTTATAATTATTTTGTTGCCAGCTAGGGAATAAGTGAGGGAAGAGATTCTGTGGTGAGACGATATGTGGGTAGGGGAAAAATTGACTAGAAGGAAAGAAACTTGTTGCTTCAGGAAAGGGATAGGTGGTAGAGGAACAGGATTCAGTAGCTGGAGGACTGTGGCAGTGTTGTAGAAGGGGAGGGATAAGGAGCCAGGGACATGGGTATGGATGGTAGAGAGAGTGGGGGGAGATGTAGGTTTAAGTCCGCTGTCAGACATACATTTTCCCCTCTCATTTGAAGCTCCATCTTCCACTCTTCTTGTCTGGGCCAGAATGTGTGGTGACAGGAAATGTCTCCACAGCTCCATATCTCAGGGTAAGGATTGGGGGTCACAGGAAGACCATCAAACACAAAGAAGAAAGGGGAGAAGAGAAAGGAGGTAAGAATGGCCTCGGTAGGGGAAGGCCTGCATGTGAGAGACAGGGTTGGAGTCTCTTTCCA